TCTTTAGCCTTTCGTTATCCGTTCCTTGCGTAGTTTATGAATAGTCTTTTAGCACGTATTGCATGTCTTGCGATATGCAAAATATGCATTTAAGTCACGCACGGAATAGTGGCAGGATCAGCATCTTATGTTATATCTCTTCGATTGCTAAGTCCCGGTAATATATCTTGTATTTGTACTGTACATAACTGTTAATGTATCTTGAGTGTAAACCATCATAGATTTTGATGCTTTACCCTGGCAGTTTTCTGTGGTCGAAGAAGAAATGGTTTGTAGCGAGGGTGCAGAATTCGCTTTTTGGAGTTTTTGGACAGAGTTCCACATGAAATCACGCTAAACTGAGAGGATCGTATGTCCGTTTTTAGAGAGCCAGTTTCAGAGTGGTTTCTGCTGCAGTGCACGAGCGTTTGCCACCGGTTGCCATCATTTTTCGCAGTGACTGACCACCGTGACTATGAGGACAGTTGAAAGAGTTTCTTTCACTAAGAGAGTGTATGAAGTATTAAAATATTTCATAAACATGTAGACAATGTGCATATCACTGTAGTACTGTAGTGACGCATATGTATCATGTGTAGTGTACTCTCTGCGTTTGATGATAGACGCCTATGTGGTCTGTGCTTATAGCTGTCGCAGTTTGTACTTGTGTTGGCTGCGTGTGTTTGAAAAGTTTATGTTCATGGTTGAGAGATCTCACAGCGATAATTTGTTCCGACGTAATGAAAAAACACCTGATGTTTTTCAGTGGCGAACATTGGCTTCCGTCCCGAAATTATGAAGCAAGTGATTGTATTATATTCCTAATTGAAATATTCTTCGCACGATGTGCAGTTCGTAGTTCACGATGTTTGTTAACCCCGAGGCTTAGAGCAGTGTTTTCGGTTTTTTCACTTTTCGTCTATCGTCGTTACGTGATTCATCATCGCTGGGCCGCACCGGATGATGGCAGTGTTGTGGAACTAGTGAGCGACTGTACGTGTCTGTATGACGAAGTTTTCGGTTGTTCGTTCACTTCGTTTCGGCGTAGTTGTGATAAGTACGAAGTTGGTTGGTGCTACGGATGACCACGTCATCGAGTGGTGTGTTGACGGATTGTGATATGGTATTCTTCATTTTCGTTGCTCGCCTCGTCACAACATCACTGTAGTGTGACGCTGATGTCCGACGAGGAGGAACGACAGCAGGACGAGAGCTTAGCACCAAGGGACAGTCGAAGAGCGGTCTTCTGTGCGCCGCCGGAGGGGTCTCGGGTGCACTGGCGACGTGACTTTGTCGCCACCGTTGACGTCAATGGCAATGATCATAGAGCCGACGGTTACTCGTCCAACGGAGAGTCGTACCGCATTGAAACATATGACTTCTGGGAGCTGCGCGTCAGAGAGTTGACAGGTGTGAAATGCGGCGGCGTTGTCGTCGTACCCCTCCCTTAGCGGCTACAACCAATTGCACATGTGACAAACTGAGTGTGATAAAATGAATACGCGCCTGTGTTGTAGACGAGCGCGAACATGTGCAGAAGAAGACATTCACCAAATGGGTCAATTCGCATCTGGACCGCGTCCACTGCCGCATTCAAGATCTCTACGCCGACCTGCGAGACGGCAAGATGCTCCTCAAGTTGTTGGAAGTCCTCAGCGGCGAACGACTAGTGAGTACAGTAACCTGATGGCGTTCGTAACGTTCGATCAGGTGATTGTTTTTTATTCAGTTGAAATTTGTTGCATTCTTTAGCCAAAACCGACCCGCGGCAAGATGCGAATTCATTGCCTGGAGAACGTGGACAAGGCGTTACAGTTCCTTCGTGAACAACATGTACATTTGGAGAACATGGGATCTCACGACATCGTCGACGGAAATCCGCGCCTGTCGTTGGGACTCATCTGGACGATCATCCTGCGCTTCCAGGTATTGTAAGACTGTTGTTTAGCTGTTTATCTGTTAAGACGTACGTCACCACTTGAACGTGAGGACATCGCCCTCGTAACATATAGGGCAGAAAACCTTGTGCGATTCAGCAAAATTGCGGATGCTCGGGGGGTCCTTCTGAAGGAGAAAACCAATTTCAATCTGACCTCGTTCTCTCAGCACTTCAAAAAGTAGGCAGTGAGCAGCCGATCATTGTATTGTCTACGGCGACAGATAAGGCTACCGTTGTGCCGGTTTGCCGATTCAGTTTGCCGGTTTGTTCAACTGTTTGTCGAGTGGCTGGTATCATCCTCTAAATTTGCTGGCGTATTCTAGAAACAACTATAGACTATTCTAAACTTAGAATGGCGGTAGTGAGGATCTCTATCATCGGCAAAATCGTCCCCGAGGAAATGGTTGATCGAATCGCGACAGCAACAGCGATCGACGTGACTTGTCGTCTAGGCGATCGTTGCTCACCGACTCTAACCGTCTTAACACATGACTTTTATCAAAATATCTTCCACGTATCCGTCAACTCAGCGTCTTTATACCGTGCCCGTCCGTACGTAATAACTCTCTCGGCAAAGAATCTTATATCTTTTCTTCAGGCCTCTTCAGCAGCCCGATGATGGCAGAAAGCTGCTGGTCAGTAGTTAAACCTTAAGGCACTGGCGGCAATAATCTATTGTTGCGTGTTTGTAAATTTGTCGGTGATTTTCTTTATCTTATGCCTTTCTGGTCGGTGCTGAAGGCAGCTATGACTGCTCGCCGATGAGATTTTGATTCAGCAGGCAGTCGGCAAAATCAAATCAAGTCTTATTTGTACTGATCTTTCCGAAAGCAGGTGCACGACAAGTTTTTCTATCTCTTCCAGTGAACGAGTGCAGTAAACATGCCACAAAAAGCAACATGTGCAAAGGGTTCAGAATCTAATACGAGAAGTCACAAGCAAGAAAAAGATATTCGATTCAGCGCGCCTTCGCTTGCTAGCGGTTTTCTGACATGTGTGCCGACGGCTGGGGGGGGGCGTTATCGCGCGTCATTTGAGGTTGTATGTTTCCGTATCGTCATCTTCCTCGGTATTATCTATCAATGAGATGCTTAGCGTAAGCGCAAAAAGAAATTTTTTCTCCATCTTTTGTATTTCGATGTTTTCTCTTTCTTTTGTGATTCGAGTTTAGTTGTCCGTATGGTCATTAAGTCATTGCGCATATTTAAGTGTACTGTCAAAAGTTAGGATTTACGCATTTCGAAAATTTCAACCTTTTCGATTGTTTGATCGTGTTTTGATCAGACGTGAATTTCTGAATTTCTCAAGCTTGCTGTTTATTTTGTTTCCAGTTCAGCACTTTCGGCGGTTCAAACATAAGTGCTTTTTTCGATGGCTTATTGTCGACCTGTAGGGCGATGCAGAATTTTGCTCATGCAGTTGCCCAAAAATGTAGAGGTGATGGTTTCGCAGCCCAGAATGCGGAAAGGATGGTTAACCTTTTACAAACAACTCGGTTCTGGTCATAAACTATCAATAAAATTAAAGTATCACGAATTAGATGGAGGAATAGTCGCTGTGATTTCTGAAGAAATAGGCATATGGTAGTTTTTATTATACTTTATATCGTTTCACCCGAACCACATTCAACATTCTCGGGAAAAACGATATTTGATTGTCGCTAGAATATGAATGAGTTTCAGGAAACCACTTTTGTGACCAATACGATCGACCTGTTCGCCTGGTACTGTACGTTGAGTCGGTGCTTATCATTTGCTGCCCTGAAAATGACATTTCAGTTTAATGCGACTAAAATTTCAGCAGTTTTAATAACGTCTATCATCTGTCCGTTTAATGGTGTCTAGAACCTTTAAGGTGGCAATTTTTTGCTGAACTTATGAAGTGCTGGAATGATGTAATATTTTAAATCTGAGGCACAAATAATTACTGAAACATAAAATCAGAACCCAACACCTCTAGGATTTCGCACATAACTTGTCCCCTTCAACCCTTTTCGGTGCTGCTTGACTAACTTTCATGATTTGTTTCATCCTGTTGTGAATTTAAGGTGTCCTCTTTTGCGGATCACAATCTAAATTCCTTTAAATGTAGCTATAATCTCTTCGTGCTACATCTCCAGCTCACTGCCATTTTATTGCTTTTTCACTGAAATTGGAGAACCATGTTTATGCCGTTCGTCTACCGGTTTCTCCTGGTAATACTTTGTGAAGAGCTTTCAGACTTATGGCCCATGTCAGAATGTGGGCATTGTCGAAATCACCGTCGTTGATTATGCATGTTTCTAACTTTCCAACTCGTAATCATTTTCTATGTTTGTAAGTGATAGGATTACAATCATAAGGGATAAGTGGTTTTTTAGCCTTTTAAATGTTGCTTCATTATAAGAATGTGGTTGTGGTAAGTAAACAACGGACTTTATCTAATCCCATAAGGATTGACTCTAACGAGGCAGGTAAGGCGAACGAACCAAAAGCCAAACTTTGTTCATCCGCTTCCGAATGTCCGCAACGAAAGTGTCTAACAGCTGGAACACACAGGGAGCTCCATCATGTTGGACGGAAGTTTAGTGCAAAAGATTTATTCCTTTGAACTCAGCTATAAAGAAATCTTACGAGTCACCATCAGATCAGAGATTTACTAAATATGAAATAACCATTGAAGCGTCATTTTTTGAAAGCATGCCTAGCATCGAGTTTAGACGATTCCGTTTTGTTTGGAATCTAAATCGACAAACAACTTGCAAACGCTGTTTGCAAATAAATGCGGTTTTTGCAATGGTAGTGGCTGACTTTGCCACTAAGGTGAAACGTTACTGCTTCAGAAGATGTCAGCTTTCAAAAATCTCTCGACGGATGTGAGGTTGTATCTCTTAAACAAAACTCATTCCTCAGTCTTCGTCCCGTAGCGTTTGAGCAGTCTTAATTTCAGATTGTTTATACTGTTTCATTGCAAGGACGCTGTGCTACTTTTCATGGATAGTTCTCGAAAGCATCCTTAAAAGTAGTCCAGTCTCATAATTGATTAAGACCCTCCGGATTCTTTATTTGTGATTCACTCTTCACTTTTCGTCAGTGAACCTGTTAATTTGGCTTTACGTTCATCATGCTGTGATTTAGATTCAAGGCATAGAGCTATATGACACAGAGAACCAGGAGACGCGTTCGGCCAAAGAGGCGTTGTTGCTGTGGTGCCAGATGAAGACCGCCGGCTACCCGAACATCAATATCCGCAATTTTATGACCAGTTGGCGCGATGGTTTGGCGTTCAACGCCTTGATCCACAAGCACCGACCGGATCTGATCAGCTTCGACAAGCTGCAGAAATCAAACGCGTTATACAACCTTGAAAACGCGTTCAGCGTCGCCGAACAACATCTCGGCATTACGCGCCTCCTCGATCCCGAAGGTTGGATACAGTCTAATAATATCGTTCTGTTTGTGTGCTGTTTAAGCCTCGCACTTGATGCTCTTCATTTTATGCAAATATTCTACAGTGAAGCCCCACACATCACGCGGAGAGCGTTCATCGCTGCGTTTTAACTCAGGCTCTCAGTATGAACGTGTATTATCGTGTAAACGTACTTGGTTATTGGAAATGGCATAGATTACTATCGGTAAAACGTTGGACTGAAAACTGGCAGGCGTTAGGTTCGAGTGTCGGTCGTATCACTTACCCGTTTTCCTTCCTAGGTTGATGACGGAATATCATTTTGTGGACCGGCAACAGGTAGCCGTTGTCGACTCTGGCTTTAAAGAAAAGATAAGTTGCCCTTGGCTGATGGTATGCAGACTGACATTGGCACCGCACGATTGATTTCATGAAAAGAAATTAGAAAGATTAAGGACGACCATTATCTCAGCGGTTACAAACTTTTCTTCCTTTATTCTGTATTGAAAATATACTTGGTTGCTACTTGCATGCATATGGATTCGGTTTTGATAAGTTCCCTACAAATGTCAGTGAAACAACTAAGTGCGAGGCTCAGATATTAAGCATATGAAAACATAACTTGAAAATGATGGTTTCAGATGTCACAAAGTATGCCATTAACTTGATGATGTATCATGTTTCGACATTAGATCAGTATGGTGATTGATTTTAAGAAATGTTGCTAAGTTGAATCAACTAAGTCTTAAATGCTTCTTCATGTAGTTTTATTGTATTTTTTGGTAATTTAATTTTTGAGCAACAAAAATTTTCTGATTTAATGACGTGCATGTCATTTTATTAGTTTTTTATGCCACGTTTCTTAAGCTTTCTACTTTCAGACGTCAACGTTGAAATGCCGGACGAAAAGTCGATCATTACATATTTGGTCAGCTACTACCATTATTTCAACAAGCTGAAGCAAGAGACGATTCAAGGCAGACGTATTGGAAAGGTAGGTGTACAAGCGGTTGAACTTTAGACAAAGATAAAATATACTCCCTGCATTTATTTCTCGAGCGACAGCGGATTTACGTCTCAGCTCGTGGAATATGATTCGCTGGATCACGAGGTTGCTGTTTCGCACAATATAATGGGTTTGTTCCTGAGTAGAACCCTGTCAGATGGGCAACGTTGTGAATGGCCAGGACAAATATCTTAGCAACATTTCAGTCTTTCGTTGCCTATCTGTTCTAGGTATTTGATAAAAGAAAAAATGTATGGCATAGATCATAGCTGACGGTTTGAAGCCAAGGTGACGCGTAAGTATGTTAAGCGGCATCTGTTCGGAAACATTTGGTGACTGGGCGAGTTCCATCACAGATATAGATCAAACGGAAATGGCTGGTGTTCATACGCGCGTCATTTGTTTGATTCAGCACTGGTAGGCAGCATGATCTCTATGCGCTACCGGTGCTCAATTGACATGGAACCGTGGTGTGCTGAATTGGTCCCTTGGCCATCTTGAAGCAAGGGGCCGTGCGTTTGCACCACGTTAAGCACGAATTCAACGGATAAGACGTTGTTCTGACCAACTGCTTGGAAAATTCTGCTATATTTCGCAGTGGCCCAAAAATGCTTTCATGAACGGACATCGAAAGTATATTGCAGCCTTGATGGGGCGTTAAAAATGACGATGGCAAACATACCGGCGTGAATTGTGGGGAAACGAACCGGTCGTCATGAAGGCAGCAGATAGCAGCGCGACAAATTCTATATTGTTATTGTATTTAATAGCAGATCAGTATACAACTGCTGAAGGAGGGTTGAGGCTTCAGATTATAGGAAATCTGCATTCAACGACTAGCTTTATGACTGTCATTTATGCGACGAGTCCAGATGCCATACCCAGTTATACACCGAGACGATGCTTATGCGTCTGTTTACGAGGCAGCGAAGCCATAGCAGTGAATGACGTTTTGCTGTCATTGCTCTGACCGTCTGATTTCCTGATATCCTTGCTCTTTCGAGAAGATGCAAGAAACTAAGGCAAATGCTGGTCACCTACTCTTACTCTCAGTCTCTCCTTACAGTTGATCAGCCATCGAAAGAAAACGGCCCGTTTAACGTGTAACGTGTGTCATTTTTATTTCGCA